GGAATCCTTAGATATCTAAATGACATTTCCAGGTCTTCTTTCTGGATCTGTGCTCTTATTTTCTCAGCTTCTGGAGAAAATAACGTCTATTCTGGATGCCGACCTCTCCACCTCATTTGCAGTCTCAATTTTACGAATTTTACAGCCTCAGTTTCATGTCTGTTCTCTTTTAAACTAACATCCTCAGTTTCTCACTTCCCACTGTGTGCTTAGATTGATTTCCTTAAGCATCCAGTCTTTCATAGATCTGTAATTTTTCAAAAGCTGTAGCACTTAGGTTCCTCTTTTAAAATTTTTCACTACTATGTCTCTCCTTTCATTGTTATATACCTCAGATTTGAATTCTGCCTCTTCAATCTTATTTCCTATGGTCTTCTTACCTCCAGCCATCATATTTCAACATTTGTCCCCAATCCCTGCCCTTTAACAGTTTTGCAGGCTTGGAAATTAGTGCTGCCTTCCTGTTAGTCCACCCCCTGTGACTTTTAAAAAGAAATAATACTGTTATTCTTCAATTATCATACATACACTCGACAGAAAATTAAACAGTAAGGGTCTCACTCCTTGCCCTTAGTTCTGCATTTCTTTTTTTCAGAAGCAGCCACTATTAACAGTGTCTTGTATATGCTTTGACATGTTTTTATGAATGTACAAGGCTTTTAGGCAAAAGCAGTAATGTGATTTGACTGAGACAAGATTGCTGTGGCTGCTGTGTTGAAAACAGTTACAAAGAGGCAAAGACAAAAGCAGGAAGGTCAGTGAAGAGCCTGATAATACAAGAAGACATCGTGTGGCCTAGACCTTGGTGGTACCAATGAAACTTGTGAGAAATGGTCAGATTCTGGGCATATTTGGAAGATAAGGCCACAAGGTATGAAGATATAATGGGTGTGTGAACTTAAAGGAAGTGGCAAGGCTTGAGCAACTGAGAGAATGAGATTGCTATGTAAAGAGATGAGAAGAATTTTGGAGGAACTGGTTGGGAGAAAGATCAAGGGTTTGGTTTGGAGCAGGGTAAATTAGATCCCTATTAGACATTCCAGGTGGAGATGTTGAGTAGCCTATTGGATATGTGAATTGGGTGGTGAAAGAGGTCCAGGCTGTAATAGACATTTGTTAGTCATCTACACATACATGGTATATTAAGCAGTGAAAGCAATAATACACGAAGAAATGTATTAATCCTGGTAAAGCTTAGTGACTAAAGTAAACCCCCTAAGTATACTGCTTTAAAGTAATACAGGAGTTGATTTCTTGCTCTTGGAACAATTGTGTGGTGCGTAGTCCAGATTTGCATGGTGGTTCTGGTGGTCCTTTAAAGAACCAAGTTCCTTCCATGTTGCCTGTCTTCTAGTTGTCGTTAGAGCTGGTTGAACAATGCATCCTGGTTCTAGCTAGGTGGAGGAGGGAAGAATCACTTTCTAGGATGAGGCTCAGCAAACTTTTTCTGTAAGTGCCAGACAGTAAGTATTTTAGGCTTTGTTGGTCATAGGATCTCTGTTACAACTACTTAATGCAGGCATCATGGCACAAAAACGTCAAGAGAGTATAAGAAAGTGGACAAGAAAACTAGTGGACCTATCTGTGTTTCAGTAAAACTGTTTACAAAAACAGGTAGTAGAGTGTAGTTTGCCAACCCCTGCTCTAATTGGTTACTATTTACGCAGAATACAGTTAAGCATTTGCCCGAATTAGGGCATTGTGGTATATATTTCAAAAATATTTTTTAAACCACAAGATCCAAATACTGTCAAAAGGACTGTTTTACTTGCTATTTTAGATAATGTTCCCTAGTTCATTTCAGAACTGCCGTTTTACAGTATGAAAAATTCAGTTCTGTTATATGTGAAGGATATTGATATAATCATTAAAAATACAAGAGGCTTTAGTTACCAAGGAGATGTATTTTTGTGTTACTGTTTTCTTCTGGCTTGTTAGGAATATAGTAGCTTAAGTCTTGATCTGTTGGACATCTATCTTTGCAACTTTAATGGATTTTTAAAATTGAAAAACTCAGAATAGTATTACTGTTATCTGTATGTTGAAAGGTGAGTAAAGTTCACATGTTAAGCCATATATTTCTTGGGCTTTGAGGCCATGAAATACCTTAATAATTGTCTCTGTTTTTTCTGTGTTTAATTTTCTGTTTAGATTTTTTGTCTTTTGTGGCCTAGGTCATATTTGCCACTTATTCCAATTTATTTGCATTGGGCTGAACAAAATAATCTTTACAATCCTTGTTTTCTATCTATGGTTATTTCAAAATAATCCTTTTTTATTTGTTTTTAATTTTGCTCTATTAAATCAGCTTATGGAGCCCTGGTGGCACAGTGGTTAAGAGCTTACCAAAAGGTAAGCAGTTCGATTCCACAAGCCTCTCCTTGGAAACCCTATGGGACAGTTCTGCTCTGTCCTGTAGGGTCACTGTGAGTCAGAATCAACTCGACAGCAATGGGTTTTTTGTTTTTTGTTTTCAGTATTGGGATGCATGCTTACTAATTGAATGTGTTTAAATTTTTGGTTGATAATACGGATTTTGGGAAATATGATCTGGTAATACAATCCACTAACGAAACTAGTGGCACTCTGGTGCCACCAATTGGTGGTATGACAATATACCAATGATATCTATAGTAATAATTTGTTGTGGGCACCTTTCCATTAGGTTACATGGGGAACCGCTGGTTTTCCAAATATGACACAGAAAAACCAAAATAAATCCATCAGGGCTCCATATCTATCACACAAGAAAGCCATAATTATGCTTGCAAGCCTTATCTCACAGAAATAAAGGGAAAAAAAGGCAAAAGTTTACAAAACTAACACATCCAGGAAGCCATCACCTGACACAATGGTCAACCTACAAGACAATGAGGCTCCAACTCAGGTCTGCTGAGCTTCGTGGATTTCAAAAGAGACCCACTTTGATGCTAAATGCATTAGAACTGGAGTAATGTACTATCTCAGAGGTCCAGAGGCATAACAAGTGGCTGGTATACCGTTATGCCAACGGTAACAAAAGAGATAAAATATTATTTTAAAAAAAAAGTCAAGTAAGATTACAGATACGCCTTGCTCAACCCTACCTCATCCTCAATCCCAGCTCCACATAGGCAACTACATTCAGCTCATTTAACTGCATCTTCTGGATATATTTCTATATTTTAATTAGCTATTTCAGTTATTTATCAATTTAGGAATTATCAAGATGCTAATATTAAAGATAGGGTCCTTGTTTCCATCTCCTTAGTTGTTTTTTCCCCATTGTTTTAATCTATTTTTCACTTTTGGGCTTTCCTCAAATATTTGGTTATCTTTAGCTGTACATTAATATTTAAAATTGAGATACCAGAAAGATCATTGTAATCTCTTTGTGTATGGTGTTTATAGTATGATGGGCTTCACTGTGGGGCAATAAGGAATTTAGTTGTTTCTTTTGGATGACTAAATGTCAGTATCTGTAGGTTTTCTCACTTTTTTATGAAAAGAATTCTTTTGTCATCCAACACCCGGTAACCACCAGCATTCTTGGAGCCTATCAGTGGAAAGGAGTTGGAGCTGTATTCCATATATAAACTTTTACTCATCCCCTTCTTTTCAGTATGGTACCTCTCATCTACTTTGTCTTTTATTTTGTCTGGATAATAAACCTGTCATTTCCCTCCACAATAATGTAATAGGAGAGTTGGGACAAGCTCTTCCTTTTACAACCATTTTATGAGCCCCATCCTTTACTGTTAGCCAGTCTTTCCAGTTGTAGAGGCTTTTTTTTGTTTTTTTTTTTTTTACTTCTGTGGCACAAATTACCTTACTTCTAGTTGGTATCCTCATCTGCTGGCTCTTTATTTTAGTTACTTAGTTCAGTTATTAATTTACAGCACTGTTTTCTTTCCGTCCAAAAATTTCCTAATACCTTTTGTCTACTGGTGTCTCAGTGTTTTAGTTTTTTTCTGAGTATTTGCCTCCCTCCACACCTTTTACTGTCATTTTAAGAGAGGAAGATGTAGAAATAAATACACAGGTTCAATATATCTTAATTCAACCATACACCCTCTTTGATAATTCTATCCATTTTACTTTTTGTTTTGTTATCCTAGGTGAACTCTCCCAAATCTTATGTTTGTCGTGTCATCCTGTTTGGCACCTGTTCTTTGTTTTCTCATATTTTACTATGAAGTGTGAAAGATTACATTTAAAAGTAGTAAAAGCTATGTGTACCTATGAATATCATTTGCATTTGAACTCTCTTTTATACTGGGAAACTAGATTTAAAATAAGAATCTACAATAGCGCATTGCTGAAATTATATTAATGGAAAAACTCACAGGTGGTAGCAGTGATGTTGATAATAATGACGATAGTTAATTTATTGGGTACTTACTACATGCCAGTTACTAAATATTTAATGCCTGTTAACTCTTTTAAATGTTTCTCTCTTTTTTTATACTCTTTTAGGAAAAAAAGCCTGGGAAAGCTTAGAAACATGTACAACGCAAAAGACTTGTCAGTCAAGTGTCATGCTTCTCCATGAAATACAAACTGATGAAGAAGTCAGAAAACAAACAGAAAAATACTTCCACTTAGCACATTGATTTTTTGGGACTGTACCTCTATGTAAGCGATTCAGTTTGAAAGTTTAGAAAATAATTTATAGTTAAATATAAAACAAGCTAAGAAAGAACTATTATGAATATAATGAGAATGCTATGTATTATGCTTTTTTGTAATCATGTTATCTTAGGGTAAACAGTGTGAGAAAAGAAATTCAACTTGATTTAGATACCTGGGAGTTAATACTGGAGAGAAAGCATCAATTTAGTGGATAAGGGAAAGTTTTCATCCATGTCACATCTCAAGCAATACTAGGGAAGTCTTGTAGGAGAAAAACTTTGCATGATAGGAATGTTGGAAAACCTTCAGCCTGAATCAGATTTTCAGCATGTACAAATTCATACTGTAGAGAAACTTTATTTATATAATGCATGTGGAAAAACCTTTAGCCTAAAGCAAAACCTCATAGATCATGAGAAAATGCATACTGGAGAGAAATCACATGAATGTACTGAATGTGGTAAAGTGTTCTCTCGGATCTCATCCCTTACTCAACATTTGAGAAGTCACAGAGGGAAAAAAACGTATAAATGTAATAAATGTGGAAAAGCCTTCAGCCAGAAGGGAAACTTCCTTTCTCATCAGAAACATCATATTGCAGAAAAATCTTATGAATGTGGGAAGGCTTCTATTCAGATGGCAAGCCTCATTAGACACCAGAGAAATTATACTGGAAAACCATGTGTATGTAAGGAATGTGGGAAGACCTTTAATGGCAAATCTTACCTCTCAGAGCATGAGAAAATTCATACGGGAGAGAAACCATTTGAATGTAATCAATGTGGAAGAGCCTTCAGCCAGAAGCAGTACCTCATTAAACATCAGAACATTCATAGTGGAAAGAAACCCTTTGAATGTAACGAATGTGGAAAAGCATTTAGTCAGAAAGAAAACCTCATTATCCACCAAAGAATCCATACTGGAGAGAAACCTTTCGAATGTAAAGGATGTGGGAAAGCTTTCATTCAGAAGTCAAGCCTCATTAGACACCAGAGAAGTCATACTGGAGAGAAACCCTATACATGTAGGGAATGTGGGAAAGCCTTCAGTGGCAAATCAAATCTTACCGAGCATGAGAAAATTCATATTGGAGAGAAACCCTATAAATGTAATGAATGTGGAACAATCTTCAGGCAGAAACAGTATCTCATTAAGCATCATAACATTCATACAGGAGAGAAACCCTATGAATGTAATAAATGTGGAAAAGCCTTCTCTCGAATCACATCGCTTATTGTACATGTGAGAATTCACACGGGTGATAAACCTTATGAATGTAAAATATGTGGGAAAGCTTTCTGTCAAAGCTCATCTCTTACCGTGCATATGAGAAGTCATACAGGTGAGAAACCCTATGGTTGTAATGAATGTGGAAAAGCCTTCTCTCAGTTCTCAACTCTTGCTCTACATATGAGAATCCATACAGGTGAAAAACCTTATCAGTGCAATGAGTGTGGAAAAGCCTTTAGCCAGAAGTCACATCACATTAGACATCAGAGAATTCATACTCATTAAAGCTCTGTGAATGCCTTTTAAGAAAGCTTTCGGCAAAATTTATACTTAATAGCAAATCAGAAAATTCATTTTATAGCAAAGGGACATCAATATTAAAAATCTTTCAGCAACAACTCAAAATCGAGATTTTTGACAAGAACTATCATAGTATAATGTAAGCTTCTACCCCAGAGTTTCCACAACATTATTAATGCTGTACTTTCAGGAGAAGTCCCATGAAAGTCAGGATGCAGACATGGACATTGCTATCTTACTACTAATCAGTGTGCTCCTAGAAAGCCTACCTGATACAGTAAGACAGAAGGATTTGAACTTAAGACAAAATTGTTATAAAATTATATGATTTGCTGTATGTATGATTTATAAAGTATAATCAAAATTATTTGCTTAGAGATTAGAAAAGTATTGTGTACAGAAACGTATGCATTTATGGGAAATTGATCATTGGTAGGGTGGCATCACAAATTATAGGGACATCATGGATGATTCAAAAACTGGTCTCAGGGTAATTGACTCTTCCTGTGTAAAAATAATAGACGTCCGTGGTCACCAAACATGAAAATACTTATTATGAATTTTAAAAATATTGAAGATTAGAATACAAAAAGCAAAACTTACAAAGAATTTTGTAGGAGAATGTCTTAAAACCTTGGAGTTGAAAAGAATTTCTAAAATAGGTTCCAAAACCAAACTCATTGCCCTTTAGTTGATTCTGACTCATAGCGACCCTATAGGACCTAGTACAACTGCCCCATAGGGTTTCCAAGGAGCAGCTGGTGGATTCTATCTGCTGACCTTTTGGTTAATAGCCTAGCTCTTAACCATTTCAGCACCAGGGCTCCAAATAGGTTCCAGAATATCCACCAATTCCCCTCTTAAGTATATATACATACCTTATATGCAATAACTGATATGTACCCAGGGAGCCACATACCAGTATGTTTATTGCATCATGAATCATAGTCCCCAAAAATTGGAAATGTGCCACTTGTGAAATGGATAAATGAAGTGTGCCAGTCATGTAGTAAAATACTCTAGCAGTTAAGTAAAAATATATGTATTAACAGGAAGATCTGAAAAATCATGTTGCAAAAACTGAAGGAAAAATGACTATTATAATGAAAGTTATGTGAATTTGAATAAAATCAACACTAACAAAGAATACTAAGCATTGGTTACGGATAAACACTTTTATATAAGTGGTTGGCTCTAGAAGGGGAGGTAGAAGGAAGATGGGACTAAGCGTGGTAGTAGTGCAAAGATACTTTAGTTTCGTATATTAAACATTTCAAGTAAATATAACAATGCTCTACTTGTTGCAATATATGTGTGTATATTTGTGTTCATTCTGTTTGTGTAATTTCTTAAATTTTTGAAAACTAAAAAGGTGGAAATAATGGGGAAACTACATGTAAGTACATGTTATGATGAACTCACATGCTCAGATGCTAATATTTTTATAAGAAATATTTCCGAAGTCATATCTTTAAAATATGAAATGTTTGTTAATTTTAAAATTTGAGGTGGCAGCCTAACACATCCAATTATTTAAAATTTACTCTTGTATGTCACATAAGTAATCTATGCATAGACTTTACTCCAGAAGTTGTAGCATGATTTTGCCACAGGTTGTTTCACATACTTTTAAGGATTGTGTCATTAAATATTAATATTTGCACACATTTGGAGTTTGTTTTTACTGAAACATCAGAAATTTTAATTCTGTACATAACCAGTATTAGCATTGTTCTTGTTAGGCACTGTCGAGTCAGTACCAACTCGTAGTGACCCTAGGTACAACACTGCCTAGTCCTGTGCCGTCCTCACAATAGTTGTTATGCTTGAGCTCATTGTTGCAGCCACTGTGTCAATCCATCTTATTGAAGGTCTATTTTTCCTGACCTACTTTACCAAGCATGGTGTCCTTCCACAGGGACTAGTCCTTCCTGATAATATGTCCAAACTTACATCAGACAAAGCCTCACCATCCTTGCTTCCAAGGAGCATTCCGGCTGTACTTCTTCCAGAATAGATTTGTTCATCCTTCTGGTAGTCCATGGTATATTCAATATTCTTCACCAACACCATAATTCAATGGCATCAGTTCTTCAGTCTTATTTATTGTCCAGCTTTCACATGCATATGAGGCGATTGAAAATATCATGGCTTGGATCAGGCACACCTTAGTCCTCAAAGTGACATCTTTGCTTTTTAACACATTAAAGAGGTATGTTGCAGATTTGCTGAATGCAATATGTCATTTGACTTCTTGATGCTGCTTCCATGGGTATTGATTGTGGATCCAAGTAAAATGAAGTCCTTAACAACTTCAATCATTTCTCCATTTATCCTGATGCTGCTTATTGGTCCAGTTGTAAAGTTATTTCTTTATGTTGAGGTGTAATCCATACTGAAGGCGGTAGTCTTTGATCTTCATCAGTAAGTACTTCAAGTCCTCTTCACTTTGAGCAACAAAGATTGTGTCATATGCATATTGTAGGTTGTTAATGAGTCTTCCTCCAGTCCTTATATTTGTTCTTCAAATAGTCCAGCTTCTCAGATTATTTGTTCAGCATACAGATTGAATAAGTATGATGAAAGGATACAACCCTGATGCACGCCTTTCCTGACTTTAAACCACACAGTATCCCCTTGTATAGTTCGGATGACTTCCTCTTGGTCTATGTACAGATTCCTCTTAAGCACAATTATGTGTTCTGGAATTCCCATTATTTGCAATGTTACCCATAATTTGTTCTGACTCACACAGTCAAATGCATAATCAATAAAACACATGTAAACGTTTTTCTGGTATTCTATGCTTTCAGCCATGATCCATTTAACATCAGCAATGATATTCCTCATTCCATATCCTCTTCTGAACCCAGCTTGAACTTCTAGCAGTTCCCTGTCAATATACTGCTGCAACTGCTTTTGAATTATTTTCAGTATGATTGTGTGTGATATTAATGATATTGTTTGATATCTTCCACATTCTGCTGGATTACCTTTCTTTGGAATGGGCACAAATATAGATCTCTTCCAGTCATTTGGCCAGGTAGCTGTCTTCCAAATTTCTTGGCGTAGATGAGTCAGCATTTCCAAGCACTGCATCCATTTTTTGAAACATCTCGATTGGTATTCCATCAATTCCTGGAACCTTGTTTTTCACCAGTGTCTTCGGTGCAGCTTGGACTTATTCCTTCTTGATCATATGCTACCTCCTGAAATAGCTGAACGTTGACCAATTCTTTTTGGTACAGTGACTCTGTATTCCTTCCATCTTTTGATGCTTCCTGCATCATTTAGTATTTTGCCCATGGAACGCTTCACTGTTCCAACTCGAGGCTTGAATTTTTTCTTCAGTTCTTTCAGCTTGTGAAGTGCCGAGTGTTTGTCCCTTTTGGTTTTCTAACTCCAGGTCTTTTTACGTGTCATTATAATACTTTGTCTTCTTCAGCTACCCTGTGAAATCTTCTGTTCAGCTCTTTTACTTCATCATTTCTTATGTTCGCTTTAGTTACTCAGCATTCAAAAGCAAGTTTCAGAGTCTCTTCTGACATCCACTTTGGCCTTTCCTGTCTAATGACCTCTTGCTTTCTTCATTTATTTTATACATCAGCTTATTATTTGACGGAAAGTTGGCCTCTGGGAGTGGCTTCAGTTCAAAGTTAGAATGTTGTCTTAGGGCAACAGTCTAGGTGTTAATAACTTCTAATGAATAATGATGAAACTGAGTATACAGCATTTAAATCAGAGTTCAAATACATCAAAATTTTAAACTGACAACAATGAAATGCCTATATAATTATAGCATTGCACTGCTTGTTATTAGCAGTTTTGAAGGTTGTTCTTGAGGTTGTTAAATGTCTATGGTTGATTTTCTGAGGTAACATACCTAAATAACATACTTGTACATCTACATGAATCTAAACTATCCTTTTCATCTTCCATTATTTCACTATCTTCTGGCTGTTGCTTTTGAGAATGGTGGTCGTGGTGGTATTAGAAGTCAAGATTTAGTTACCTTTAGGAGGTGGGAAGAGTACTGACTTGAGAATTGTTGCTGTTGAGAATTCAGCTGTCAGCCAAATTGTTCCTTTGACAGTAATATGTATTCTCTGTGTTCCTCTTTGGGTCTTCTTTTTCTCTTATGTGTTCTGCACTTATAATGAGACTAAATATTCTATTTATTGTGTTTGGGATTGGATGTGTTTCCTGACAGTGAGATTTGTTGACAGTAATCAATTTTAGAACATTTTCACCATTACCTCTTTGAATATTTCCTCTCTATAGTTTTATTATTCCCTCTGCAACTCCAGTGAAACTTATGTCACACTTTTTCAGTTGGTCCTACATATCTCTTAACTTTCTTTTTTTATATTTTATATCTTTGTTTCTGTGTGCTATATTTTGGGTCATTTCCTTAGATATTTTCCAGTTGTGTATAATCTACCATCTCAGAAGTTTACTGAGTTGATTCGGTTATTTGTAACTTATTTGGTTATAATCATTTCATTCTATTCTTACACTGGCCCTATTAAAGAAATTGAGGCTTAAGTAGGTTTGTTGGCCAGTCAGTGATCACACACGTGAACTGGCAGAGATGGGATCAATACTTGTATTTGGCTTCCTTTATCCAGTGTACTTTCTACTCCACTGTCTTTTCCAAACACTTTCATTAATAGGGACACTGTGTGACAATTTCCCTGGTTGAGAGCAGATAAATGAAACTTCAAGTGGAAGAGAAATATATATTATATATATTCACACAGAGAAAGGGGGTCAGTAGAGATGTTGTATCCTTTGTGATGCAGTCTTTTATTCCTGTTCTGCTTGAGGCATTTGTGGTACTGAGATGGTTTCCAAGGTTTCCTCATCTTCCTGGATATCATTAAAATACACACAATTCACATAGGGCAGTAGTTCTTCAAGTTTTCTACCCAAGTATCTCCAAAACAGGGGATCCAGCCCAAAGTGTTAATAAAACTTTTTAAATGTAGAAAGCATTTTAAATCTAGTGTTTTATCTTAAAAATATGTAATATTCTATATACTATGTGATTCCACTTCTGTAAGCAACAGGCAAAGTACTCTGGTATTAGAAGTTAAGATAGTAGATAACATTTGAGGAGGGAAGAATAGTGATTAGGTGGAGGCATGAGGGGGCTTACGGGGTACTGGTAATGTTCTATTTCTTGACATGATTGCTGGTTACATAGAGGTGTTCACTTTGTGATAATTGAGCTGTATGCTTATATATTTATGACTATATTTTATACATATATATTAATGTTCTATTCCTAAAATACCCTTATTTTATTATGAAGTAATGTTTTAAAACATTAAATTGTTTAACATTACCAGTACCTGTTACTATCAAGTCAGTTATGACTCATGGAGAACCCACATATGTCAGAGTAGAACTGTGCTCCATAGGGTTTTCAGTGGCTGATTTTTCAGTAGATTGCCAGGCCTTTCTTCTGATGCCAACCTTTTTGTTAGCAGCTGTCGTCATCTAGTGCTGCTCTAACAGAAATACCAAAAGTGGATGGCTTTAACAAAGAGAAATTTACTTATCTCACAGTCTAGTAGCCTAGAAGTCCAAACTCAGGGTGTCAGCTCCAGGGGAAGGCTTTCTCTGTCTGCCTTCTCATCAATCTTCCCCCAGAATAGGAGCTTCTCCATGCAGGGACCCCGGGTCCAAAGGACACGCTCTGCTCCCAGCACTTTCTTGGTGGTATGAGGTCCCCATTCTCTGCTTGCTTCCCTTTCTTGTAAGATAAAATGTAGTGCAGGCCACACTGCAGAGAAACTCCCTTTACACTGGATCAGAGATGTGACCTTAGGGTGTTACAATCCCACCCTAATCCTCTTTAACACTACAATCACAAAATGGAGGACAACCACACTGGGAATCATGGCCCAGCCAAATTGATACACACATTTTTGGGGGAACATAATTCCATCCATGACAGCAGCTAAGCTCATTAATCGTTTGCACCACCCAGGGACTTCCATTCTTCACGTAGAGTTGATTATGTAGGAAAATGCTCCATATTTGCCCTTTGACTTTTCTTGTCATAACTTTATTAATTTTTAAAAAATTGTTTCCATATTTTAAGAATCATGAGGAACATACCAGGATTCTTTAATATTAAAATTCACTGATTTTACTAATGGTTTCTTCAATCTGTAATAAAACTGGCAATCACCAATGAGGAATGAAACTTTAAAATTTCCGTAACTAATTGAATCATAACCTTTTGAAAGAATAAGTTTTTATTTGATTTTAATATATATGCTTACGAATCAATATTTATAGCCCCCCCTTGAGATATTTAATAAAACCCATTCATAAATTTAGGAATGGTCCCAAGTGGCTGTTCTTATTACAACTAGCTTGTGAGTTTGACACACGGGATGCAAGATGAAAATCCCAAGCACTTTGGATAAAATCTGAGGCAATCTATTTTTACTTCATTTATTATCCTCCATTTGTTTATGTTGTTCAAGAGGAACCTGTACGTAGATCAAGAGGCAGTCATTTGGACAGAACAAGGGGATACTGCGTGGTTTAAAGTTAGGAAAGGTGTGTGTCAGGGTTGTATCCTTTCACCATACCTATTCAATCTGTATGCTGAGCAAATAATCAGAGAAGCTGGACCATATGAAGAAGAACAGGGCATCAGGATTGGAGGAAGACTCATTTACAACCTGCGTTATGCAGATGACACAAGCTTGCTTGCTGAAAGTGAAGAGGAATTGAAGCACTTACTGATGAAGATCGAAGACCACAGCCTTCAGTATGGAT